CCTCCAATAAAAGAAAGAAGAAAAAATTTAGAAGAATTACCTCAAATTTTTGTAGTGTTTTATGATGTTTTATATTTTTGTTGTTTTCAATGATCCCGATGATCTACTTTAACATGCAGCGTAGTCAGATCGTGCGTCTTATACAGTCGTAGAAAAAATTTAAATTTACGGAGCAATAAAAATGTGGGCTGACTACCCTATTGACACAGAAATATTTTTTGTTCGCACATAAGAGGCGCAAACTTCTGTAGAGCACAAAAAATGAAATAGTGCAGAGTGTTAACAAAAATTGTAATCAATAGACGAAAAACGAAAACTAATAGCAGCCATATATAAATCATGTATAAAAATTATTTAGTACGTAGGGACCTGACCATTCACCTGCCCATAAAAATTAAAAATAAATTGACTAAAGAAACGTTATGACTTGCATAAAAATAATTTTTGATATCTGCTAGACTTTATTCCATTGAAATTTTTTATGTTGCCTCATTAATTAATAACTGGCTTTCACTCGTGTGTTTTGTCAGAAAATTAAACAATTGTGAACATTTAGTTATACGGAAATTTTTAACGGTCGAATTTGAAAATGCGTTATACTGATAAACATTATGGATAAATAAAATAGAAAGTGTGCATTTTATAATAACGACGCTTGTTTCCTGGTGTTTCTGCCCGACTTCGTCGTTCATTCATTGTCCAGTTAGAAGGCCTACAGACATAGCTACTCTATAACAAACACGTTATAAATGTCAGCATAATGAAGGAACAAAAACTGAAATTAATTATATTGAAAAGAACAAAACTTTAATACCTGATTTCCAAGGGATGTCCTGGTCAGTCTGATCCAGGCGACTTGATCGGTCTCTTCCTTTTTTTTCACCGCGTAGTTTTTACGTTGTATCGTTGAAATTAATTGTAAAATTTTTATCTTAGTAATTCAATGAACCCTACTTGCATTATTGCAATTTTCTTAATAAACGTTAAATAAAATTACTAAAAAGTAGCGAGTGAAAGCCAGCTATTTTCTCACCGCAAGTGACATCTTTTATTGACACTTTTTTAAGTTGGGTGTTTTTCATGATTAAGTTTCAAATTATAAAGATAGACCATCAGGATCCTATTTAAGTATTTCATGCATTTACTCATACAAGTTGATTTTAACACTTATATCTACTCAACTTACAAACCACAAGATATAGATCGTGTTTTTCCATTCGCTTGTTTTCCATCTTCGTAGAATGTAGTCCATTTTTATAGTGCAATCACTTCAATGTAATGTTCATACGTACATATGCCGTTATGAGATGTCCATTCAACATGTCGATATCATTCCATACACGAAGTAAGGAGCATCATCAACCAATAAAGAAGCTACTAATGTGATCAATTGCCATTTCGATATACTACAATTCACAATGCACTGTTATGGTAACTTCAAGCGAAGGAAAAAGGGACCGCACTTCAATACCCTAGTTTTATCATTACTCAAAGAATGCTTACTGCAGAGTTGATCTTCTGTGAGTATCAGTTGACCACCTTTACGTAGGTTCATATAACAATGGGGCCCATCATCATTATATGAACAAACAACTGACATCAACAAAGAATCCAAACTACAAATGAACATTCTTGGCCATGAATCACCATGACACATGAGTAATGAGAAACTAGTAAAAGTAATTGAGGTTAATGACACAGGTGGTAAAGGGACTTTCACAACTCCATTCTTGTGGGATCTGCAATATAAGAAAATATGAAACACATGTATGAGATTTCATGATGAATAACTCTGCATATGACGTTAGTTTGCGTTTTAAATTCTTAATCATATATATTGAGAATGAGCAAACTGTTATATGTTTCTGTTTAAACTATTCAAACGGTAGAACATTCACCTTCATTGCACGAATAGCTTTAGTGAGTTGAGTTTGAACGATGTAACAAGTTTCGCACCTTTAAAGGCTTATAATCGTGATGAAAGCATTTTACAGTAAAAGCTTTGACATTACGAGGCCTTTACTAAGACCAGTTCATTATTCCATGTAACTCATACTTTGGTATTCGTAAGTAAAAAGACAGAATTTAACTTTCTTCCTACAACGTTAAAGTGAGTAATTTTCTGTTGAAGTAAAACACACGAATTTAAACATGTTAACGTTTCTTTAATTGACGTCATAACTAAAATTATTATTGTCATTAGCTCCTTAGGAGCATGCCACCTTTCACAAAGACAATAAATAATCCTTCAATGCGTTTTTAAGGCCTGTTTCAAACATCGCATTTTACATGTGCTGAATGTATTTAAGACAAAAGATAATAAGGAATTTATCTCATTATATTCCTCACAAACGTCTTCGAGCCTGTGTAAACACGAAAAATATCTTTTACTTCTTTTATTAAACAATGATAATACAAAACAGACAAATTAAAAACAAATGTTTTAATTTTTTATGTAACAGGTATTCATGATTGATTTGGAAATTCTCTTTGATTGATTCTAATTGATTGAGCTCAGATAGGTTTGCTAATGCCAAGTTTGCTAATGTTAACTCAACTATAGACAAATCAACGCACGCATTTTTCTGTCTTTATTTTATAAACAAAAATGGATACTTTTACCTTTGGGAATCATGTTCCTCTTCATCATCTTTCCAAAATGTCTGTGACATTAATATTGATTCTTTATCTTCATCAATATCTTCATCACTACCTTCTGAATAAACAATAAAATAAAAAAGATTGATTGAAAAACTTCATATAAGACAAATTTTACAAAACACAAATGAAACTGTACACAATCAACATTGATATCCATGTCTAATTATGGTATTTTTAATCTCAATACAATATTCATATAATGGAGTGTTCATTCTTACTTTGTGAGCCAGCAATATGAGAACATTCATGCAGCAGTGTTTCATTGTCATCCTTATCCTAACTCATTAAAATCTCCACCAATTCTTTATCCAACTCTCCAGCTAAATAAATGTCTTATATTAATAAAAATTTGAGCCCTTGAGAGAGAAAGAATTATTTTTGGTGAATAATACATGAACTGCTGGTCTGGCTGGCTTGTAGTACATCTATAACTGACTGATCAACAACTGGACTATACACATCCACATCTAAAACAGAAGAAAATAGAAATATTTTATTGTATAAATCTAAATTAAAATAAGTTAAACAAAATTCATCAAAACCTTGATTTATTGTTGCTTCACACTGCAGTTGCTTGCCTTGTGACAAAACACGTTGAGAAAATTCTTTAAAGTCTTTGGGTGAAAGAGATTTTTCCAACGTCTCCAACTCCCTTTGACTGCAAGATTATTTGAAATTCATAAAAACATAAAGTTAAATCATTAAACATCACAAGGTCAAGTCTTACATCAAAAAAGTTGAATTTTTATGTGTAGTGTTAAGTACATGACAATTAATAAAGGGAAAGTTGAACACATCTTTAACAAAACATGAAATTTTATGGACTATAAAACAGCATCATTCTGAGATGAACACGTCACAGCCGCTGAATGCCATGAATACAATATAAAATGCATGAAATGCATTGTGAGCTATACAATGATGTGACATGCATTTTTTTGTATATTACCTTGTGAAACAGGAAGTGCAACTTGTGAAGATAGTCCAATATCTCGTCTTCACTGTCTTTCATCTTCCCACATAGCAGTTATACCAGGATTACGACCAATACAACCTTCATAAACATAATAAACTTATTAAAGATGTATAAACAGTAAAATGAAGACATAAAGATAAGTAAATTTTACTTTCAAAATTTATTTGATTCAAGATATCTTCAGCAATTACATCAACTTCAAGTTCACAACGACTGACTTTTTTCACAGTAGGATCCAGGCATAAAGTTCTAAATAATGACAAATAACAAACATTAAAAGGATGAATATCAACTGTAAAGATAGTTATCATAAAGAATCATTCTAAACTTAAACTAATTTTTCTGGATTGAACATTGACTCTAAATCTTGGGATAAATCATACGCACGTGTGTCAAATTTAGGATTAAGGATTTACACAAATCCTTTGGGTTTCAATTAATCTTCAAGTTTAAAATATATGAATCAGACAAACCTAGGAATAGTGTCTTCATTCCAGTGTTGAGATGAAGGAAAATTGAGAAATGAATTTGGAGATGAACCATGAAGTGGAATTGATTTATTATTATATGAAAGATTTTTTTCTATAAAATTTAATTTGATGGTAAATAATCACTTGTGATGTTAGATTTTCATAGAATGCTGAAAAAATCAATAATGAAACTTTCCTGTTTTTCAAGAAATTCCTTTTAAATGAACTTTTCTTACATGAAGTAAGTTCATACCATAAAGATTGTAATCAATGAGAAACTAAAATAAACAATATTTTAATATAATTCTTATAATGTAACTTAGTGGAAATCTGTAGAAGTTGACCATCCAGGTAGGAAAAGACTAAAAAGGTCAGTGGTATTATTGCTGAATGACATTTTAACATTATTACCAGCAATCATCTCATCTAGATGTGAAAACATCAATCAAGACTACCCCCAACAGTCCTTCTCAATACTGTAGTATCCTTTATGATCAACATCAACAAACATGCAGCTATACTTCCACAATGTGTTCAAACCATTCACTTTATTGACAAAATGTTTTGCACATGAAATTTACAGCTATAATCCATAATGAAATGTTTTTATTGGGCACCTGAGATCTGATGTATAATTATAGCAAAGTGGCCATCTATACATGCAAATGTTGCATCTCCGATGTCAGTAGAAAAGTCAGCCCATTTTTTACTCCTACGTACAATACAAATATTGCTTTAATCAATTACTTTGAAAAACAATGAATGGGATTAATTTCTAAAGAAATAAACAACAAATTTTGCATGCCTTGCCCCCTGTCTGGTGCACAGTTTACAAACTAACCACTCCAGTCTGGGTTATAACAATCAAAGATGTGTTTTTTCTCATTAATCAGAAAAAACAATAATTACCTGTAGAATATAAGGAACATGAGCTTCGTGTGGTTGAAATGAATTGTTCAATATAGCTCCATTCTGAAGAAGATCACAAGTCTGAAAAAACTAAAAAATTTTGACGTCGTTTTATGTTAGAACAACATGAAAAATATATCTTACTTGGGAATTATTCTTGGATTGTACAACTCCATCTTAATAAACTCTTCTTCGTTCTCATGATAACCATAAAATGGTCTAAAAAATAAAATCATTTTGGGTGAATAATATTGAAACGTTTTTGAGTCGAAAATGGGAGATTTTGTGTTGTGAGGTAAAGAAGAGAGTAAAAAAGATTTAATAATAGTAAGCTTTGTCAACATGAGGAGAAAACAAGGAAAATAACTTACATTTTTTTAACAATTTCAGTTTTATGAACATATTTCATAGAAGATGATGTTCTACCAAACGCAACTTGAACAGCAAAATCTACACTTGTCGTAAATTGTTTCAGATATTTATCTGTGGGCTTAGTTCCATCGTAAGGTATGTATAAGTAAGGAAATACTTGATGAATATGAACACAAGTTTTCTGTCCACCAGGAGTTGAGCCAAATATCCTCAAAACTGGAACACGGTCAACATTCGCCTCGCGAAATTTAGAAAACAAAATATCTAAGCCATCTATAGGTTTTCCCACGTAAAAATCAGCATCTACAATCCTAACAGAAAACATTCTGTTGCTCCAAGTAAGAAAATATATCGTCAACTAAAATTTTTGAAAGACGAAAGACGAGAGTTGAATCCGCCATATCTGTTTTACATTATAGATTAGCCAATCAAAGATTTCATAAGCAAACCCTTATACCAAGTCATCGTAATCACCTTTTTGGGATTAGATGGGATAAAGGCCTCCCTCTAATCTCTAATATATAAATCCTAACATGGTTTTTAATATGCACATGAAAAACATGTGACTTGGACGAGATCAAGTTAACACTGATCTCTAAGTTAATCACTAATCTCTAAGTAAACACTGTCCTCAAATAAAAGGTCCAATTAAAAGTCGGGGGGGGAGCTTATTAAGCTAAAGCATGTAGGCCCACAATCTGAACTTCCCACTTTTCGTAGTTATTGTAAGGAAAAATCGGACATTATAAGTGATAAAATTATGCTTTTGGTTAAAACCCAGTTGAACAATTCATTTATTGACATGTCACCAAGGAAAAGGAATTTATCACGACAATATCACGACATCCTCACAATTTTGATAGAAGCACTGCTATTTAAGATACTAAATTTGCCTCAGTAATGCTGTAATTACTTTGAACGTCGTTCTTACTAAACTAGGTGAAATTTTCTGACAAAGAAATTTTAAAATTAAATCCAAGGATTTTGGCAGTAGCTTTGTTTAAGTAAATAATAAAAATAATGTTTTTCCTGTAGCAAATAACTTTTAGAATTATGGAAAATCACACTCCAGAAACACTGGTAAACGTTGTTGACGAACTCCAGATTTAGAAATTTTCCACGGGTGAGCATGACTTTATAGACCTCGCTAGAAAGGCTTACGCGTTTCGCGTTAGAAAATATGCTCCCCAGAAGTTCACGTCTTTCTTCATGTCTAACTACGACACTGCATGTAAAGGATTTCCGCTTTCGTCGAGCAAAATATTGTCTGCATCCTGATGTTTTTGGTCCCGTACACTCATGTCAATTCTGAAAATTAATATTAGTTAAATGTGTACAACATTTATGAGTTGATTGAGTTGAACTGAAATTGAATTTGCAATAAAATTTCTAAATCAATCCCTGTCGTGTATATTTCAATTATAGCTAAAATATATAATTTCCTCAACTCATTTTATCGTCTGGCTGTTATGAACAGAATTCAATATTTCACAATAAAAACAGCAGGTGACTAAAATCAAGCACTTATTGAACATTCCAATTTCTTTATTATCAAGCAGAAGCAAAGGCATCATGTAGATGGTTGCGTCGTCTTTAATATTTCGAAATTTGTTAAGGTATGTTGATTGAAAAGTTTACCTATCAGAGTGTCATTGTTTGTTCTTATGTCTTTAGTTTTGATATATTTGTCATAAAAAAAATGAAATGTCATTTTCGTGATGGAATTCACACTTCATATGTTTTATATTGATACATCTGTTGATTTTGGTGGGATTTTCCCAACAACACATTGGATAATTTATCATTTCAAAATACTGACCTTTCTTGCATTATACCAAACAATTAATTTTATTAGTATTTTGGAATATCATTGGTACGGCAGGGCTAAAAATCAACAAGATGAATCAAAATTATGACACGTCACAGAATTTCAGTTATGCATATCATTATGTGCAATAATTTTAATGTTATCTAACATGGCTTTTATCAAGAACAATTTTTTTCCTCTTTCATATAGTCATCTATCTATTTATCTTATTCCTAACATAGATGATTACATAAAACCGTTTTACTAGGTATGTCTTTAGAAATTGCGCATACTTTGAGTAAAAAGCTCACTTCATCATGTACACGTGATTTTTTTCTGTTCTATATTTGTTCAACTTGTTGTAAGATAGACTATTTAAAATATTTGTTTGCGTCAAAAGTTCACAAAATGACAAAACTTTACATGATGAACTGTCAAGTCCAAACGCTATCAATTTTTAAGTATCTCTGATTACTGAGATATGACAAATTATTCAAAATTAGAGACTTCGAGATTAATTATTTTGAAATTCCCTTTTTAAATAAAGACTGCCCCTAAAATCTTGAGCCCCTTAACTTTTACTTGTTTCTCACGCCCCTGATCAAATTATTTGTTTATCCGGATCAAAAGTTTACAAAATGACAAAACTTCATTGACCACGTTTCAAAGTTGGAACGATGATAATTTCAGAGTAGCTCTGTTTATCGATTTTCTAAACTTCCTAAATTATAAATCTTTAATTTTTGAGCCATCTTATTATCTTATGTTTACTTCAGTTAGTTTGCATGTAAGTCAGGATGTTCAATAATTGAAATATATTATAGTAAACTGTGAAAGGTTTATTGGCATAAAGCTTCCAAGTCAAAACTTCTTTGTGTTTACTTCAGTCATAGCTAAAATAAAAAATTTGCATTTCATATTCTATTGGGTATGAACAGAATTCAATATTTTACAATAAAAACAGCAGGTGATTAAAATCAAGCATTTATTGAACATTCCAATTTCTTTATTATCAAGCAAAAGCAAACACATCATGTAGTTGGTTGCGTCGTTTTTTATCTTTCTGAATTTGTGAAGGTATGTTGATTTTATAGTTTACTCTCTTTGTGTAATAGTGTATTTTAACCTTCTGATTTAATGTTTTGTGTCCATGTATCAATTTTTTTGTTTTAGTGTCACGAATATTGTAGTTAAGTATAACTTATAAATTAGTGCCACGTATTTTTTATAAGGATAAATTTTCTTCATTTTGGCGGGATTTTCAAACACAGATAAATTTTGGATACATTACACGTGGAAAATACGACTTTTCCCACATCAATTACTCTAACCGTTTATTTCAAATGATATTAATACAGCAAAGTTAATAAATAAACGTGTTTAGTCAAAATAATGACACTTAAAAGAATGTTAGACATGCATGTCATTATGTGCAATAATTTTACTTTTTCTAACACGGCTTTATCAAGACGTGTACAACATTTTATACAATATAGGACCAGAATATTTACATCGAAAGAGAGTATGAAGTTTATTATCTAGATCTTTATATTTCGCAAATTTTGCGTTAGATATCTATGGAACAATTAGTTGCTACAGATTTGCATGATCACTATTTTTGAGTCCTTTCTGTGTCTTTGTTGAAAGGTATTTTTGATATGACTAACAATTGTTGACTTTTATGGGTTTTAAACAATCAACTAAATTTTAGATAAGTTAACGTTGGAAAACACTAAACTTTCCAGCATCATCGCTAGCAATACATTCCAATAGTTCATTTCAAATATTATTCTAAAAAATCAACAAAATGTGTCAAAATAATCACACGTCACAGAGTTATGTATATCATTATACGGAATGATTTTAATTTTTGTGACATGACTATCTTCAAGAAGCACAACATTTTTTTTATTTCTTATTGGATTCTCTTGCTGAAAATCTAATTCATGATCAACTGAAAACAATTATCTTTGATGCATTTTAATTGATGTCAACATAAAATTCATTAATATTGACACAAAATTAGGAAATCGAACGAGACATACCTGAAGTTGAAGTTCGATTGGTATTCTATTAGCATCTACAAAGCAGAGATTACACGACATACTACGCATGCGCACATTGGTCATATTTCAAAGATAGTGGCCACATGAACCGCCTAAATGTGCATATGAACGATATGCAGGGAGGCAGTAACATGATAGGTGGGCGTGTAATCTCTGCTCTGTAGATGCTAATAGAATCCCAATCGATTTTCAACTTCAGGTAATGCTCGTTCAATTTCCTAATTCTATTAGCATCTACCGCAGAGATCCCACGAGATTTGAAAGTCATGTGGGAACAATTCATACCTACACGCAAATATGACATTAAGTTATAAACATATTTTAATTGGAGATGTATCAAACATACCCAGAAATAGTAACAAATATGAATTCAAATATTTCCTCCTCTTGCACTATACATGCAAGTATATGTGTCGTGAACTCCCTGCCAAGTTCAACTAAAGAGAATTCTCATCCAATATCTGTCTTATTGGGATGCTGAAGAATGGCATTCCCAAACTCCGCATCCCCACGTTGAGACACAACGTTCTTATTGTAAAACCGATGAAAATCGCAATCAGTCTTCCAACTTTCAGCTTTCAGTATAGAGTTTATTGAAACATCACATTGCTTCGCTTTACTGGTGGCTGTGGCTCGTGTACTATGTGGTTTGAACGTTTCTATATCAATTCCTGCAGCTTGCATGACAGTTCTAACGAGATATAGATGACTTTGATACTTTATGAAAGGGTCGAATTGTGCTAAGAAATAGTTGATTCTCCAGACCCCGAATGGGAGCAGTGCGTAAATCTATTCTACCATGACTGAGGCAACACATAGTTGGTGAATGTAAAGTAGGTTGAATGCGTGTTGGTCCAGACTGTTTGACAAGTTGGTCGATATAGAAGGTGTATGAGTCCTCTTCCTTATTTACAGTTAAGAGGTTCATGAGGTGAGGTGATTGGGCACGCTGCCCTGTGACTAATGCACAGAGCATTACCAACTTATCAGTAAGCTGTTGTAGATTTAAGTCTCCTACTGCGGGATGTATCTTTATATACTCTAAAACAATGGAAGTGTCCCAGTTCACTTGATATCTTGGTAGTGCTGGTCTAGATTAGAACATTCCATTTATAAATCTCTGAACCATATAATGTGTACCAATCATAGAATTCTCTTCAGTAATAACGAATGAACATAACATACTTCGAACAGTGTTTATGCAACTGTAACTCATCTCTTGATCAAATAGGTGCTGTAGAAAGTCTAGAACTACCTGTAAAGTTGGATGAAGGGGATCTGCATTGCGTTTATTAACATAGAGTTGCCTTTTGTTAAGGTAACTTGATATTGTTTTTGTGTTCTTGGCAGCCAGGAATTAGTTGTTGTTGCTTGAGCTTGTGGTGAAATGTCCTTACTTGATAATGATCTCCAGATAAGAGACAAGCTATCAGACTCAGTCTCCCTTTGAGTGGATGTTCTTTTGCTTTATTGGATGGTAAGCTCACGTTGCTTTTGTTTTTGGGTAGGAGAATGGGTCGGTGAATTATTAATCTTGCCAGCATCGGATACCAGGATTGAGTTGGACATTTGCGCACGATGAGAATTGTCCGTTCCTGGGCCATTTCTATTTTTTGTAAAACTTCTGATATAACACTAAAAGGTGGAAAAGCATAAAGAAACAATTTACTCCAATCAATGCAAAAAGCGTTAATAGCCCACGTCTGGGGATCTGGGTGCCACGAGACATAGGGCTTAAATTGATAGTTTATTCTAGAAGCAAACATGTCATCTTCTCTGGTCCCAAAAATATGCTGTTATTTCATGAAATAATTCAGCATCAAGCTTTCATTCTTTGGAATTATCAAATGTTCTGGAGTTTGTCAGCCACCACATTACGTTTCTTAGGGATATAGCTCACAGTTAGCCATATGTCCCTGATTCTGCACCACGCCCATATTTCTCTTGCAATTTTATTGCAATGGTGAGAGTGGTAGCCCCCCCTCCCCCATGTGGTAATATATGCAAGGGCAGTGGTATTGTCAGTCATTACTTTAATGTGAGTGTGGACTAGACAATTAATAAGCAAATAATTCCAGACAATTAATGTGCGAGTCTTTTTCGGCGATTGACCATTCGCCTCCCGTGGACTGTTTGTTAATACTTGCGCCACATCCCTTGGTAAAGGCGTCCGTATACAATACGTGGTCAATCTTGCCATGATTCAGATGTTTTTTGGACTCATATGCATTATTAATCCACCAAGATACGTCCTCCAGCGCCGAAAGAGAGAGTTTCAATTTCACATCAAAGTTACCCCTGTTAGACTTAAGAGATGTTGTTTTGTCTGTGTCAAAATCACGATAAAACAGTGGGCAATATTCAACGCCAAGAAACAAGCTACCATCATACCAATTAACTTAGCCATTTCCCGTATGCTAGGAGGGTGAGATTTTAGCACCCCCCCTGGCAACCTAGCATAATTTGCTGTGTTTCTCTATGGATATAATGATAGTCATATCTGTTGAATTTAACACAAACCCTAAATGTCGTAAAATCTGCGTGGGTTCTGTTACAGATTTATCTTTATGGGGTAGAAATCCTAACTTCTGAAACAATTGTACAGTGTCATGTACGTTTTCCTCGCATTCTGTATAGGAGTAGCTCATTAAAAAAGAGTCATCAATGTAACCGCTAGAAACGTGCTTAACCTCCCTCTGCTTAGAATATACTGGCTTGAGTATTTTTGTAAATAAACGTAGAGCGGAAGAAAATCTTGATCAGTTGCTGTGCAGCCTTTTTGCTTTCTTTTACTGTTTTCAGGCGTTCCTTTAAATATAGCAATGACTAAGAGTAAGGCTCATGAAAATACTGCAACTCTGGGAGTATTATAATATGAAAACATTTCATTAAAATCAATAATCAATCTACCTAACGTTATAACACGAAGAATGTACAAATCCGCCAAGGTAAAATTGGAAAGTTAAAAAATTGAAACTATTCATGTTGTGATAAATATTTCAAAAATTTCCCTGTGCAAAAGCGATTTTCATCGCCATTTCGCTAGCGACGGACGTAGTACCAATTTTGTGCCCCCCTCCCCCTCCCCCACTCGCAAAACTCTGGCGACGCCACTACCAAAATGTATCCAAATGCCTAAATGCAGGAAAACTAAAATGTCCAATTGCGTTGTGTTCAGCTGCCATTATCGATATTCACTTACACGTACAAGTAAAACTGTAACATTACGTAGCTATGTTTGATCTTCAACAATTTTAGTTGTCTATAAATTCAAATATACAAACTATTTATGTTGATATTAATAATTTTATGACCCTTAGATGGAGTCAAGAGAAGAAAAGAATTACAACTACTTGCAGAAAATACTTAAAAATGTCGTTAAGAAGAAACTTGTTGATTTATTTATCCAAGAGTGGAACATTAATTACGGAGTATGGGATAATACAAACGTTAGTGGTCAGAAGTTGTTCCATATTGAAATCACAGAGAAAAAATTTTGTGATAGACAAACTTTGTCAAAATTTAAAGATGGTGACACCAGTAAGTGGGATTGTACGGTATTATGCAAATCAATATTATTTACCCATTCGATTGGAACAAAAATTGATCCAAACACTGAAGCTGCTGTGAATGAACTTCGTAAAGTAAGAAACAAAATCGCTCATAATGTAGATGGTAAATTATCTGATGCTGATTATCACACAATGGTTTGTGATATTGAAAACTCATTTCAAGATCTAGGATTTATATTTACTGAAATTATCAAAATAAAAAGTGAACGAAACATATTTTATTCTTTTCAAGTACTTCCTTGCAAACCAAATCACGATGTGGTTAAACGTACAGAATTACTTAATCAAATCACAACAGATCTCAATAACTTGCGCAGTACTAACAATAATGAACTAACATATTACTATATTTCTGGTAATCCTGGCAGTGGTAAATCTCAATTAGCTAGACAAATTTGCGAAGAAATGTATAACTCATTTGACTGGGAAAAGAATACGACATTTGTGATGACACTCGAAGGAAAAGAAATCGATTCTCTTTTGAAAACTTATGCTGAACTTTATCAACGATTAAACAATGATAAAACTGTCATTGAAAATATTTTAAAAGAAGCAAAAAGCAGAGAAGACAAAATCAAAGATTTTCAATTATTGCTGACACAGCAACTGAAATCATGGCAAACATGGTGGATTGTAGTAGATAACGTGTATGAACTTGATAAAATTTATCCATTATTACCTCAAGTTGGTGATCATAGCTGGAAAAATGGTCAAATTATAATAACTGTCCAAAATACAGATGCTATACCGCCAGATGGAAATCTAAGTAAACACATTTCAGTTAGTCATGGTATGAACAATGAAGAATGTCGACAACTTCTATATGTCTTTTCTGATATTCATAATAAAGATGAAAACTTTTTAAAAGATTTATCAGACAAATTAGATCGTCAACCGTTGTTCCTGGCAAATGCTGCTTCCTACGTAGGTAGAGTAAAAAGTGTAAATCCGACATTCACGTGGGAGCAATATTTTGATAAGTTGAATAAAGGAGAGCGACAGAACATGGATGCCAAATTTCAAAAAATAAATACATCTTATTTAGGAATGAAAACTGTTATGTTAGCAGTACAAAAAAATGCCGAAGAATCCATCTTGTTGGAACATATTTTTAAACTTTTCTCAATAATATCTTTTGATCCCTTACCACAAGATGTTATCATACCATTTATTAAAAGCATTGATCCACAAAAATCTGCAGAAGATGTCTGTCTTGAATTAAAGCATTGTTCTTTATTCCTTCAAACGGAAAACAACGACATTCGCCTGCACAGCGTTGTACACGAAGCCATCATAAAATATTCATCGCAAACTTTCGGCTGTAAACAAAACGAAAAGAATTCAAAAAATTCTGCAGCTGATCTTGTCTGTCAAGTTGCTTGGGCACTAAATTATTTTGAAGACAGAGAAGATGAAATCAAAATAATTCCACATCTAATTAAATTCATATCAAATTCATCATTTCAACATTTCCTAAATAAGTTGATCGATGTAAAATCATCAAAAGAAAAACTTGATGAAAGAAATTGGAAACTTGCCAAATATTTTATAGATGTTTTGGAAAGATTTTGCAACTATAAACTTGCAACTAAAGTACTTTATGAAATAACAGAAATTCAAACTGAAGTGTTAGGTGTTGATCATATTGATGTTTCATATTCGTACAACGAGCTGGGTGTATTGCTTAGGAAGAATGGAGAATATGAAAATGCTAAAGATTTTTTCGAGCGAGCAAAATTGAAACGAAATTGAAACGAAATTGAAACGAAAGCATTTGGACCTGACCATGTCAATATTTCGACATCGTACAACAATCTTGGTTTGGTTTACGATTATATGGGAGAGTACAAAAAAGCAAAAGCCTTTTATGAACGAGCGATGAAAATTAAAACGAAAGTATTTGGACCTGACCATGTTAATATTGCGGCAACGTACAACAATCTGGGTTTGGTTTACAGAAAAATGGGAGAGTACGAAAAAGCAAAAGACTTTTTTGAACGAGCGATAGAAATTAAAACAAAAGCATTTGGAACTGACCATGTTAATATTGCTACAACGTACAGCAATCTGGGTTTGGTTTACAGAAAAATGGGAGAGTACGAAAAAGCAAAAGATTTTTGAACGAGCAATGAAAATTCAAACGAAAGCATTTCGACCTGACCATGTTAATATTGCAAAAACGTACAACAATCTGGGTTCGGTTTACAGTAAAATGGGAGAGTACGAAAAAGCAAAATATTTTTATGAAAGAGCAATAAAATTCAAACAAAAACATTTCAACCTGACCATGTTAATATTGCGAAAACGTACAAAAATCTGGGTTTGGTTTACAGTAAAATGGGAGAGTACGAAAAAGCAAAGGACTTTTTTGAACGAGCGATGAAAATTAAAACGAAAGCATTTGGACCTGACCATGTTAATATTGCGACAACGTACAACAATCTGGGTTTGGTTTACAGAGATATGGGAGAGTACAAAAAAGCAAAAGATTTTTATGAACGAGCGAAGGAAATTCAAACAAAAGCATTTGGACCTGACCATGTTAATATTGCAACAACGTACGACAATCTGGGTTCGGTTTACAGTAAAATGGGAGAGTACGAAAAAGCAAAAGATTTTTATGAACGAGCGATAGAAATTGAAACAAAAGCATTTGGACCTGACCATGTTAATATTGCGAAAACGTACAACAATCTGGGTTCGGTTTACAGTAAAATGGGAGAGTACGAAAAAGCAAAAGATTTTTATGATCGAGCGATAGAAATTCAAACAAAAACATTTGGACCTGACCATGTTAATTTTGCGAAAACGTACAACAATCTGGGCTCGGTTTACAGTAAAATGGGAGAGTACGAAAAAGCAAAAGATTTTTATGAACGAGCGATAGAAACTAAAACAAAAACATTTGGACCTGACCATGTTAATATTACGAAAACGTACAACAATCTGGGTTTGGTTTACAGAGATATGGGAGAGTACGAAAAAGCAAAAGATTTTTATGAACGAGCGATTAAAATTAAAACTAAATCATTTGGACCTGACCATGTTAATATTGCGAAAACGTACAACAATCTGGGTTTGGTTTACATAGATATGGGAGAGTACAAAATAGCAAAAGATTTTTATGAACGAGCGATAGAATTCAAACAAAAGCATTTGGACCTGACCATGTTAATATTATGAAAACGTACAAAAATCTGAGTTTGGTTTACAGTAAAATGGGAGAGTACGAAAAAGCAAAAGATTTTTATGAACGAGCGACAAAAATTCAAACAAAAACATTTGGACCTAACCATGTTAATATTTCAAAAAACGTACAACCATCCGGGTTCGTTTTACAGTAAAATGGGAGAGTACGAAAAAGCAAAAGATTTTTTTAAACGAGCGATGAAAAATAAATTATGATAAAACATAAAACAACGACAGCAATTATAATAAATAATAAAACAAATACATAAATGAATATATAATATAGATACAATTAATCAATACAAAATTTGCGGGGCACGGTCTGTTACAATGGAATGGGGCGAGTTATCGTTTGTTTATACAATTTATGTGATTTTTGGGTCGCCTTTGGTTTAACCTCACAAAGTTAAATCTATAACAAATGTGCTTCGCCAAGAATATGCTCTAGTGAAAAATGTGAAATCTCTATTTCATCAAGATTTCAACGATGATAATATACCATCAACGTTTGGTGGTTATATTGTTTACCTCTGACTGACCATAACTTTTTCAATTGTTTTTTGAAAGTTTCTTAATGTCATTCCATATTCCATATTTGTTTTTAACTTCTCTAGTTTAAACATAACAGGACAATCCAGTGATATACAGCTCAGTTGTTCATCTCTAGCTCCACAACACTGAAAACATATCTACAATATGAAAAAAAATTAAACGTCATGAAAAATACAAACCATAATTATTAGGTTATTTCTTATGCATACCTCTTTAAGATGACTGTATTTTCTTTCCCAGTTCCCCACTCTACTTGCCAGAATAAAGACAGACTTTTGAGGGTTGCTACGACAACTTTGACACAAACCGTGCTGTGTTAATTGTTCACATACAGGACTGTAGAGTTGTAAAAACCGAGAAATCGAACGCTAAAATTTGTTCAAATAAATTAATTTAGCTTTTACATCAATTCATGAATGTACTTATGACAACTAACTTTTTGTTTCCTTGCAATAAAACGATGTCGAGGGATATAGCGGGGTAGTTGTGTATACCATGAAAACACATCAACACCAATCAAGGAAAAAACTCGATCCAATGGAGGAAGTATTTGTTTCTGAACATAGTAGATGGTATTGAGGCGTAGATATTTATCATTTAACACATCAATAGGACTGAAGAAAATTAAAACAAGAAGATTGTTTAATGAAGATAATCATATTTATACTAAAATATTTATTAATAACATTCCAACAGCTTTTGTCATGATACATAACGTAAAATAATGAAAGACAGCAACATTTGAACTTACTCTTTAACCAATTGAATCAATGGTAGTTCAGGACTGCCGTTAACAATGACGTAAGATACACGTTTTCCCATGCGAGGTTCCGTGCGACGATCACGTGACAAATGACGTCTAGACAAAAATAGACATAATAAAACTATAATCATGACAACAATATAAAGAGGATTTTTCATTTCAACAATAAAATTAGCCTTGCAATTTCCAAAGCTGGAACACATGCTTTTGTTTTATATCTTTTCATACCACGATATTCCTTAGCAAAGATGAAATCCTGAATCGATATTCTATCTTTCATCACTTTAACGAACTGCCGCTGGACAAACTTCTTCAAAGACTCACGTCTCTTTCTTCCAATAAAATCTTTAAAGACTTCTCTAAAATCTGTCACAAAATAAAATCACAGACTGCTTTGAACTCAAAATCCCCTACAGAATCTTGTGTGATTGGATGACACAGTACCACACGAGAACCCACTCATCCCATGTCTTCACGAGATTGAAAGTTCGTTCCAGGGTCTCGCATGCTTTACGAAGAATTGCGTCAGTAATCTGATGAAAAACAGAAAAGAATATTCAGATGGTTTTAAGAGTAAAATGAATCCAGTATGACAATAAGCACTTGATAGATTTTCAATCTGAGGACGTGACTAAGTCCAGGCTTACGATAATCATAATAATCAACATGTACCTATATTATATATATTATATATTTACCAATTATCTGCAGTAAATATATTATATATTTATTGTATCTAAAATATATATGTGTATTGGTAAATATATTATATGTATAATATAGAAACAATCAATACAAAGTTTACGGCACAAGGTCTGTTTAGATGGAATGGGGAGAGCTATCGTTTGTTTAAATTTCTATCATGAATACAAAGTTTACGGCGCACGGTCTGTTTAGATGGAATGGGGAGAGCTATCGTTTGTTTAAATTTCTATCATGAATACAAAGTTTACGGCGCACGGTCTGTTTAGATGGAATGGGGAGAGCTATCGTTTGTTTAAATTTCTATCATGAATACAAAGTTTACGGCACGGTCTGTTTAGATGGAATGGGAGAGCTATCGTTTGTTTAAATTTCTATCATGAATACAAAGTTTACGGCACAAGGTCTGTTTAGATGGAATGGGGAGAGTTATCGTTTGTTTAAATTTCTATCATGAATACAAAGTTTACGGCACACGGTCTGTTTAGATGGAATGAGGAGAGTTATCGTTTGTTTAAATTTCTATCATGAATACAAAGTTTACAGCACAAGGTCTGTTTAGATGGAATGAGGAGAGCTATCGTTTGTTTAAATTTCTATCATGAATACAAAGTTTACGGCACAAGGTCTGTTTAGATGGAATGGGAGAGTTATCGTTTGTTTAAATTTCTATCATGAATACAAAGTTTACGGCGCACGGTCTGTTTAGATGGAATGGGAGAGCTATCGTTTGTTTAAATTTCTATCATGAATACAAAGTTTACGGCGCACGGTCTGTTTAGATGGAATGGGAGAGCTATCGTTTGTTTAAATTTCTATCATGAATACAAAGTTTACGGCACACGGTCTGTTTAGATGGAATGGGGAGAGCTATCGTTTGTTTAAATTTCTATCATGAATACAAAGTTTACGGCACGGTCTGTTTAGATGGAATGGGAGAGCTATCGTTTGTTTAAATTTCTATCATGAATACAAAGTTTACAGCGCACGGTCTGTTTAAATTGAATGGGGAGAGCTATCGTTTGTTTAAATTTCTATCATGAATACAAAGTTTACGGCACAAGGTCTGTTTAGATGGAATGGGGAGAGCTATCGTTTGTTTAAATTTCTATCATGAATACAAAGTTTACGGCGCAAGGTCTGTTTAGATGGAATGAGGAGAGCTATCGTTTGTTTAAATTTCTATCATGAATACAAAGTTTACGGCACAAGGTCTGTTTAGATGGAATGGGGAGAGCTATCGTTTGTTTAAATTTCTATCATGAATACAAAGTTTACGGCGCACGGTCTGTTTAGATGGAATGGGGAGAGCTATCGTTTGTTTAAATTTCTATCATGACAAGATCAAAGTTACCTCAACACAAGACATTCGTCCTGAGAAGTTTGCGGATGTGTAACCATAAGTGACATTTGTAATCAACTTTAAAGCAAGTTGTCGAGCATCAAGAAGTTGAAGAAGAGTCTAAAATGTAAATTATCTATGATATTGAATGATTAAAGAAAACAAACGAAGAGTGGAAAGGCATCTTTTTTGAACATGATGAAAACTCTATGACGTTTTAGCTACTGGATCTTATAAAAACATCAAAGATCGCTTCAATAACAAAGGTTTAATAAAACCACCTTACTTTATCATCTTTACAATCTTTCATAGCTTTCTTTACCATAATACGTGTGTATAATATCTCCTCTAACATTCTAAAATAAATCAAATTTATTGAACATATAATAGCCAAAGATATAAAGACCCATTTAAGACAGTAAACACTAAAGAAGGAACGCTATGTACATTGCAAAATATACAACAAAATGCAAATGTTATTTTTTCAACAATCTTTTAAATCAACAAAAATGTGACCTGTAACCAAATGAATGTGAAATATCCCACATTACCTGGGTAAAATTCTTCGTCTTATGTTAGATTTTACAAAAACAGAGCCGTTGGCGCTTACATGAATATCATCTTGCAGTTTCTGAAAGGAAATGTATTCTTTCAAATGTATTGCTTGTCGTGATGGTAATTTATTAAAAATTCTCACCTCCAGTAATGTTGGAGGAACATTCAACGATGTACAACCATACTCAAAATGAACAACGACATGTAAGACAGAGAAAAATGACTTTTTACCTTAATTTTACAATCCATGCTACACGACAGAAGAAGATGAACAGATTTCGGAAAAAAACTTATTGCATAAAATCCTTTAGTGTAACCAGACCTAAGAGAAAGATAAAATAATACAATAATACATAAGTAAGAATATCTCCATTGCCTTCTTTTATCACGACGGTAGAAGGATGAACTACAGGAAAACAAAAACTTAAATGTTATTAAAAAGTGCTGTATAAAGTGAATATTTGCATCAGGAAGTATCGTTACGTTTTTGTTGAGGTTAGTAGAGTCCTGTGAAGGACTGTTGATGTTGATGTTGATGTTGACTGACGTTTCGACAATCTTAGCAGTAGTCATCTTCAGAGTCAAATGATTAGTAAATGTCTGGTTAGCCGTGTTTCTTAAAACAAGTGCTAAGGAAGTCCAATACAATATCTACAAACATACGTACGTAGTACTAGAACAAATCATTACTTTATAATAAATAATACACTGATAAATATGATTTTATAAACATATCAAGTGATCACATAAACGTCTTGAATTAAACATTGAGTCAATGAGAAGCATTGTATTAAAAAACGCTCAAATTTTAAGTTTATATTTGGATGAGACACTTTCTCAAATGAATACTGTAATGTATAATTGAACTTCCTCAATACCATCAAGAATTATATCATAAACTGTCTTTAAACTTAATTCAATTATTGCGTGTTTTCCTTAAAATCTACAAAATTTAAAGGGGTAGTCAGGCCTTAACACAACTTTCGCTCATATGAAAGTGTATATTGTTCTTACCTCTCTCACGAAATCCTAGGTTTCCAATTCAAATTTAACTCGAGAAATAATGCCTTAAATGTGTGTATTTTTGCCTCTTGTTCGATCGCAATTGTATACATGCAAGCGAAGCCGCAGTCCAGCAGCGGTTTTTCGTCGTGACGTCACTGCGCGGTGATCGTTGTCAACATCAGACAAAATCATAGAATAGAGACTATGTAGAAGGGCAACTCGCAGGTGAAACGCGTGGCATATTTTCTGTGCGCATGCGTTAGGTCCGCCATTACTCTGGCCAGTAACTTGACGCTGGCGTACTATAAAATAATATTGGAAAAGTGCCATTTTGTGATAATAATCGCCTAAAACGCAAACTGTTTTGGAAGATCATGGAATTTTGTGACAAAACGTGAAAGAAATAAGATGAGAGACCATTATTTAATTGCTGGCAAGTCCGTAAAGGTTTTTTATGGGTAAAAATTACATGTTTCAATGTCGGGTGTTAGTACGACATTGAAAATTACATGTTTCAATGTCGTACTGCTATAGAGTTGTCAGTATGTTAGGTGAATAGAAGTCCAGAAATTTACCACCACATAAATTGAAGAATATTTCCAAGCTTAATCTTTACTGATCTTTACTTTCTAAACGAGTGCGCTGCACGACATTAAAATCCATGTTGACACAATGTCATAAAATTCAAAGACGTTGTCACTGAGACTGGGAAGTCTGTCAACAGTCTACATAAATGGTACTTATATGCTTATGACAATAGGGGTGTAATACATTATTAATGTCAATTTTTGCATTTGCGTTGTTTTGTAAACCGTTACGTACTGTTTTTGGCATCACAGATATTTTGAGTATTTTCGATAAAATCAGGAAACATTTTGATTTTGATTCTTAAAAGAAGACAAAAAAACTTAAATAAGCCAAAGTTGAAAAATAAACCAAAGGGAATTTCGATTTTAAATAAGCCTAACGTGAGAAAAAGAAGCGAAATTTGGCTCAAATTATTAAGCCAAACTGGCAACCTTGAGCAGCCATCTTTTTTGCTTTTACATATTGTTTGTAATATGACATAAATATGATGTTTTTTATCGTAAGCAAACATCAAGGATGTTACTGTTAATAATCAGAAAGCAAAAGTATATTCGGTTATTGTCTTTTCATTTTAGCACAAAAAGAGGAGAGAATAACATGCGCAAAAGTTTCTCTCATACATATGAATTTGTTCACGTTTAAAAATATTAATTTAGCAATTAGCGCTATATAATAATTAACGTAATATCGATTTGATTATACCAACAAAAGAAACACTTTATTAAAAAAAAATTGCACATCGTTTTTTCTCAACTAATTCGCACACTGAATACGATCTAACGACAAAAAAGTTAAATTTTTACCTACGTATTGTTAACTGTTAAGTAAAAGAAAATTAATAAAGGAGCAGTTGTACACATCTTCATGTAACGATGACAATGTTTAAACTTAAGAAAACATGAAATTTTATGCACTAGAAAACAACTGTATTTTGGGATATATAAGTCAGAGCCTCATAAATCATAAATACCATGACAATATAAAATACATGAAATGTATTGTGAGCTATACGACGATGAAGTATTGAAGGCAATAGCTTTATTGGAAATCTTGTGGGAAAATTCATACCTACGGTCACTAAACTCATACCAAAAGTGTTACCTTCTCTAGGTCAGCTATATCAGGTGCTATCACCGGCAGCACGCAAAAAGCAGTTGCTGGTAGTGGAAACATTTTGATTTTGATTCTTAAAAGCAGACAAAAAAAAACTTAATAAGCCAAATTTGAAAAATAAACCAAAGGGAATTTCGATTTTAAATAAGCCTAACGTGAGAAAAAGAAGCGAAATTTGGCTCAAATTATTAAGCCAAACTGGCAACCTTGAACAAATATGATGTTTTTTAGCGTAAGTAAGCATCAAGGATGTTACTGTTAATAATCAGAAAGCAAAAGTATATTCGGTTATTCTCTTTTCACTTTTGCACAAAAAAAGAGGAGAGAATAACATGCGCAAAAAATTTCTCTCATACATTTGTAACTGGATCAGCGGTTATAACGAAAATCACTATCGTAAATCATATGAATTTATTCACGTTTAAAAATATTAATTTAGCAATTAGCGCTATGAAATAATTAACGTAATATCGATTTCATTATGCCTCTAAAGAAACACTTTTGCACATCGTTTTTTCTCAACTAATTCGCACACTGAATACGATCTAACGACAAAAAAGTTGAATTTTTACCTACGTATTGTTAACTGTTAAACAAAAGAAAATTAATAAAGGAGCAGTTGTGCACATCTTCATGTAATGATGAAAATGTTTAAACTTAAGAAAACATGAAATTTTATGCACTAGAAAACAGCTGTATTTTGGGATATATAAGTCAGAGCCTCATAAATCATAAATAACATGATAATATAAAATGCATGGAATGTATTGTGAACTATACAATGATGTGACATGTATTTTTTGTACCTTACCTTGTGAAACAGGAAGAGCAACTTGTGAAGATAGTCCAATATCTCGTCTTCGTTGTCTTTCATCTTCCCACATAGCAGTTATACCAGGATTATGACCAATACAACCTTCATAAACATAATAAACTCATTAAAGATGTATAAACAGTAAAATGAAGACATAAAGATAACTAAATTTTACTTTCAACATTATTTGATTCAAGATGTCTTCAGCAATTACATCAACTTCAAGTTCACAACGACTGACTTTTTTCACAGTTGGATCCAGGCATAAATTTCTAAATAATGACAAATAACAAACATTAAAATGATGAATATTAACTGTAAAGATAGTTATCACAAAGAATCATTCCAAAGTTAAACTAATTTTTTAAATGCAAATTCTGTAATCTGGATTGAGCATTGACTCTAAATCTTGGGATAAATAAAACAAACATGTATCAAATTTAGGATTAAGGATTTACACAAATCCTTTTGGTTTCAATTAATCTTCAAGTATAAAATATATGAATCAGACAAACCTAGGAATAGTGTCTTCAATCCAGTGTTGAGATGAAGGAAAATTGAGAAATGAATTTGGAGATGAACCATGAAGTGGAATTGATTTATTATTATATGAAAGATTTTTATCTATAAAATTCAATTTGATGGTAAATAATCATTTGTGGTGTTAGATTTTTATAGAATGCTTAAGAAATCAATAATGAAACTTTCCTGTTTTTGAAGAAATTCCTCAAGAATGAACTTTTCTTACATGAAGTAAGTTCATACCATAAAGATTGTAAACAATTAGAAACTAAAATAAACGATATTTCAATATAATTCTTATAATGAAACTTAGTGAAAATCTATAGAAGTTGACCATCCAGGTAGGAAAAGACTAAAAAAGGTCAGTGGCATTAGTGTTGAATGACATTTTAACATTGTTACCAGTAGTCATCTCATCTAGATGTGAAAACATCAATCAAGACTACCCCCAACAGTCCTTCTTAATACTTTAGTATCCTTTATGATCAACATCAACAAACATGCAGCTATACTTCCACAATGTGTTCAAAACATTCACTTTATTGACAAAATGTTTTGCACATGAAATTTACAGCTATAATCCATAATGAAATGTTTTTATTGGGCACCTGAGATCTGATGTATAATTATAGCAAAGTGGGCACCTATACATGCAAATTTTGCATCTCTGATGTCGGTAGAAAAGTCAGACCATTTTTTACTCCTTTGTACAATACAAATATTGCTTTAATCAATTACCTTGAAAAACAATGAATGAGATTAATTTCTAAAGAAATAAAAAACAAACTTTGCAGGCCTTGCCCCCTGTCTGGTGCACAGTTTACAAACTAACCACTGCACTCTGGGTTATAACAATCAAAGATGTGTTTTTTCTCATTAATCAGAAAAAAAAATAATTACCTGTAGAATATAAGGAACATGAGCTTCGTGTGGTTGAAATGACTTGTTCAATATAGCTCCATTCTGAAGATCAACAAGTCTGAAACAAATAAAAAAATTTTGATATCGTTTTATGTTAGAACAACATGAAAAATATATCTTACTTGGGAATTATTCTTGGATTGCACAACTCCATCTTAATATACTATTCTTCGTTCTCATGATAACCATAAAATGGTCTAAAAAATAAAATCATTTTGAGTGAATAATATTGAAACGATATTGGGTCGAAAATGGAAGATTTTCCATTGTGATGTAAAGAAGAGAGTAAAAAAGATTTAATAATAGTAAGCTTTGTCAGCATGAGGAGAAAACAAGGAAAATAACTTACATTTTTTTAACAATTTCAGTTTTATGAACATATTTCATAGAATATGATGTTCTACCAAACGCAACTTGAACAGCAAAGTCTACACTTGTCGTAAATTGTTTCAGATATTTATCTGTGGGTTTAGTTCCATCGTAAGGTATGTATAAGTAAGGAAATACTTGATGAATATGAACACAAGTTTTCTGTCCACCAGGAGTTGAGCCAAATATCCTCAAAACTGGAACACGGTTAACATTCGCCTCATGAAATTTAGAAAACAAAATATCTAAGCCATCTATAGGTTTTCCCACGTAAAATCTGCATCTACAATCCTAACAGAAAACATTCTGTTGTTCCAAGTAAGAAAATATATCGTCAATTAAAATTTTTGAAAGACGAAAGACGAGAGTTGAATCCGCCATATTTGTTTTAGATTATAGATTAGCCAATCAAAGATTTTATAAGCAAACCCTTATACCAAGTCAACGTAATCACCTTTTTGGGATTAGATGGGATTTAGAAATTTTCCAAGGTTGAGCATGACTTTATAGACCTCGCTAGAAAGGCTCACGCGTTTGGCGTTAGAAAATATGCTCCCCAGAAGTTCATGTATTTCTTCATGTCTAACTACGACACTGCATGTAAAGGATTTCCGCTTTCGTCGAGCAAAATAGTGTCCGCATCCTGATGTTTTTGGTCCCGTACACCCATGTCAATACTGAAAATTAATAATGGTTAACTGTGTACAACATTTATGAGTTCATTTGAGTTGAACTGAAATTGAATTTGCAATAAAATTTCTAAATCAATCCCTGTCGTATATATTTCAATTATAGCTAAAATATAAAATTTGCACATCTCATTTTATCGTCTCGCTGTTATGAACAGAATTCAATATTTTACAATAAAAACAGCATGTGATTAAAATCAAGCAATTATTGAACATTCCAATTTCTTTATTATCAAGAAAAAGCAAAGACATCATGTACATGGTTGGGTCTTCTTTAATCTTTCTAAATTTGTTAAGGTATGTTGAATATAAAGTTCACCTATCAGAGTGTAATTGTTTGTTTTTATGTCTAGAATTTTGTTTTATTTGTCATAAAAGACCTGAATGTCATTTTCGTGGTGGAATTCGCACTTCATATGTTTTATTTTGATACATCTGTTGATTTTGGTGGGATTTTCCCAATAACACATTGGATAATTTATCACTTCAAAATACTGACCTTTCTTACATTATCACCAACAATTAATTTCACTAGTCTTTTCAAATATCATTGGTACGGCAGGGCTAAAAATCAACAAATGAATCAAAATCATGACACGTCACAGAATTTCAGTTATGCATATCATAAATGCGGAATGATTTTAATTTTATCTAACATGGCTTTTATCAAGAAGAATTTTTCCTCTTTTATACAGTCATCTATCTCTTTATCTTATTCGTACCACAGATGATGACATAAAACGTTTTGCTAGGTATGTCTTTAGAAATTGCGCCTAATTGAAAAGCTCACTTCTTCACGTGATAGTACACGTGATTTTTCTGGTCTATAATTATTCAACTTGTTGTAAGATAGACTATTTAAAATATTTGTTTGCGTCAAAAGTTCACAAAATGACAAAACTTTGCATGATGAAGTGTCAAGTCCAAACGGTATCAGTTTTTGTAGAATCTATGATTACTGAGATTTGACAAAATTATTCTAAATTAGAGACTTCGATATAAATTACTCTCATATCCCCTTCTTAATTAAAGACTGCCCCTAAAATCTTGAGTTCCCCAACATATACTTGCTTCTCATGCCGCTGATCAAACTATTTGTTTATCCGGATCAAAAGTTTACAAAATGGCAAAACTTCATTGACTACGTTTCAAAGTTGGAACGCTGACAATTTTAGAAAAGCTCTGTTTATCCATTTTCTTAACTTCCTATATTATAAATGTTTAATTTTTGAGCAATCTTGCCTATAAAAGGCTGGCTACCGCGTTTTCCTTTAGAATTAATTCTGTTAGTTTGCATGTAAGTCAGGATGTTCAATAATTGAAATAAATAATAGTAAATTGTGAAAGGTTTTTTGGCATAAAGCTTGTAAGTCAAAACGTCTTTGTGTTAACTTCAGTCATAGCTAAAATAAAAATTTGCATTTCATATTTTATTGGGTATGACCAGAATTCAATATTTTACAATAAAAACAGCAGGTGATTAAAGTCAAGCATTTATTTAACATTCCGATTTCTTTATTATCAAGCAGAAGCAAGGGCATCACGTAGCTGGTTGCGTCTTCTTTAATCTTTCGAAATTTGTTAAGGTATGTTGATTGAAAAGTTTACCTATCATAGTGTCATTGTTTGTTCTTATGTCTTTAATTTTGATATATTAGTCATAAATAATGGAATGTCATTTTCGTGGTGGGATTCGCACTTCATATATTTTATATTGATATATCTGTTGACTTTGGTGGGATTTTCTCAATAACACATTGGATAATTTATCATTTCAAAATACTGACCTTTCTTGAATTATCACCAAAAACTAATTTCACTAGCCTTTTCAAATATCATTGGTACGGCAGGGCTAAAAAATCAACAAAATGAATCAAAATCATGACACGTCACAGAATTTCAGTTATGCATATCATAAATGCGGAATGATTTTAATTTTATCTAACAAAGCTTTTATCAAGAAGAATTTTTTTCTCATTCATATAGTCTTCTATCTATTTATCTTTTTCGTACCACAGATGAGGACATAAAAACGTTTTGCTAGGTATGTCCATAGAAATTGGGCCTACTTAGAGTGAAAAGCTCACTTCTTCACGTGATAGTACACGTGATTTTTTATGGTCTATATTTGTTCAACTTGTTGTAAGATAGTTTATTTAAAATATTTGTTTGCGTCAAAAGTTCACAAAATGACAAAACTTTGCATGATGAACTGTCAAGTTCAACGCTATCAGTTTTGTGGTATCTCTGATTACTGAGATGTGAGAAAATTAACCATCTTACCTAGTATCAGTCGTCAAAAATAATTATTAGATGAGTTGTTGTTTATAATCTTATTTTTTTTGAGCTATCTTATTGCTGAAAATTGTATTATGTATTTTGCCTGGCTGCCTCAACTTTGCGTTTGTTAATAGTTTAGTTTCCAGAACATTTCAATTATTCAAATAAATATATGTAAACTGTGTATAAGGTTTATCAAATTTAACTGAAACATAATTTGTTGTAAAATTTATAAATCATCCCTTCTTCGTGTATTCTCATCAGTCATAGCTAAAATATGAAATTTGCTCATCTCATTTTATCGTTTCGCTCTTATGAACAGAACTCAATATTTTAAAATAGAAACATCAGGTGATTAAAATCAAGCATTTATTGAACATTCCAATTTCTTTATTATCAAACAGAAGCAAAGACATCATGTAGATGGTTGCGTCGTCTTTAATCTTTCTGAATTTGTTAAGGTATGTTGATTATAAAGTTCACCTATCATAGTGTCATTGTTTGTTTTTATGTCTAGAATTTTGTTATATTTGTCATAAAAAACCTAAATGTCATTTTCGTGGTGGAATTCGCACGTCCAATATTTTATATTGATACGTCTGTTGATTTTGATTGGATTTTCCCAATAACACATTGTATAATTTATCATTTCAAAATACTGACCTTTCTGTCATTATCACAAACAATTAATTTCAATAGACTTTTCAAATAACATTGGTACGGCGAGGCTAAAAATCAACAAAATGAATCAAAATCATGACACGTCACAAAATTTCAGTTATGCATATCATTATGTGCAAGAATTTTAATTTTATTTAACATTGCTTTTATCAAGAAGAATTTTTTCCTCATTCAAATAGTCATCTATCTATTTATCATATTCGTAACGCAGATGATGACATAAAAACGTTTTGGTAGGTATGTCTTTAGAAATTGGGCCTAATTGGAGTAAAAAGCTCAATTCTTCACGTGATAGTTAACGTGATTTTTTCTGGTCTATAATTGTTCAACTTGTTGTAAGATAGACTATTTAAAATATTTGTTTGCGTCAAAAGTTTACAAAATGACGAAACTTTGCGTGATGAACTGTCAAGTCCAAGCGCTATAAGTTTTGAAGTATCTCTGATTACTGAGATGTGAGAAAATTAACCGTCTTACCTAGTATCAATCGTCAAAAATAATTATTGGATGAGTTGTTGTTTATAATCTTAACTTTTTTGAGCTTCTTATTGGTAAAAATGGTATTATATATTTTGCCATGCTGCCTCAACTTTGCGTTTATTAATAGTTTAGTTTCCAGAACATTTCAATAATTCAAATAAATATATTTAAACTGTGTATAAGGTTTATCAAATTTAACTGAAACAGAATTTGTTGTAAAATTTATAAATCATCCCTTCTTCATGTATTCTCATATGTCATAGCTAAAATATAAAATTTGCCCATCTCATTTTATCGCCTCGCTGTTATGAACAGAACTCAATATTTTAGAATAAAAACAGCAGGTGATTGAAATCAAGCATTTATTGAATATTCAAATTTCTTTATTATCAAGAAAAAGCAAAGACATCTTGTAGCTGGTCGCGTCTTCTTTAATCTTTCTAAGTTTGTTAAGGTATGTTGATTTTTAATTTCACCTAGCATAGATATTTGGATAATTTATCATTTCAAAATACTGACCTTTCTTCCATTATCACCAGCAATTAATTTCGATAGTCGTTTCAAATATCATTGGTACGGCAAGGCTAAAAAATGAACAACATGATTCAAAATTATGACACGTCACAGAATTTCAGTTATGCATATTATTATGTGCCATAATTTTAATTTTATATGACA